TCTTCTTCTTTTTTTTTAAAAAACAGAATCTAGAAAATATTTGCCACATCCCTTATAAAATATTATAAAAGTCACTACCAAGTTGAGTTTTAAATATCATCATATCTAAGTAGCGTAAATGATTTAAACAAAATATTCTCAAAAAAACTTTGGAGAGAGATGAAAAAAAAATCTTTCGTTCAAATTTTGGAGGCCAAAAGTATATTTATTTTAGAAACATATATCCAATTTTGGTTTTTAGTGAAAAAATACATTTCCAATCCTTGAGTTTTTAATTTAGTTTCTGCTTGGTCGTCTTTCAAGATTTCAAAATTCTACAATTTTTCCTAAGATAATACTTCGTTTTTTTGTTGATACGACATTTACTTTTATAATATTTATGGGTGATGTGGCAAAAATTGCTCCCAAAATTTTCTACATCTTCCTCCCTATAGAATCTTCAAAACGTCTATGATACATTAGGAAAATTTTTAAATATTATAGGAGTACCTATTCCTTTTGTTCGCACTATGATTTTGACTTTATAAATAACTATTTAATGTTAGTGAATCACACATCATTTTATTATAACGCTAACGTAACAAGCAGTGGTATTGTATTAAAAAAGAGCATGATCGACTCTTGTAAGGTTTTTGAAATGTAAAATCCAAATAAAAATTAAACTTAGAGCATGAAAATGGGTACTACTTTGTCCCCTAGAGGATGACATACTAGCAAAGGCCTTAAACCTTATGGTATCAATTATCACGAAGTTTTGAGTTCAAGCTTTGTACTGGTGAAGCTACACAGCATCGATTCTGAAAAAAAAAAAAATACTATTTTAAAATTTACCTTGTATTATCTCTCTTTCATTTAAGGATAAAAGTAAAACCAGCACGTGTTGGATGGAGAGAGCAGGGAACGTGAAGGGGAAGAATTTGGGAGGGGTTGCACGTGAACACAATAAAACCTACACTTTGACCAATCAACACTCTCTTTCCCATGACGTGGCGTTTCATTATTAGTTAATACTTTAAGATATCACCTACCCACACCATTCAATTTTTCAACTTTTTTCTACCCTTTTATTTTACTCCTAACATTATATTCCCTTTTTTTGTTAGTCCAATTTTAACCTCCTACTTAACGTTATACTACATGAGTATAGTTCACCCGAACATAGCTCAATTATATTGATCAAGAAATTCTTTACCCTTTTAATGACTAAAATTGTTATAATAAACTTTCATGACATGATATTTGGTGAGCGTGAGCTAGTAAAAGTTTATAGTAGAACCAAACCATCTCTGAGAATAAAGTTCTAAATTCTTCCAAAACTTTAAAAAATTTGATAGAAATTTTATTTTCTTAGATGGTTTGATTGATATCCTCTAAATTTATGCAAACTCAGTGTTGGAGGGCAAAACACAACCTACCACGTGGAGAATTAGGGAAGATCATCTCACATGGCCTTTCCTCGATACCTCTAAAACGTGTAGTGACCAACCTATTAAGCTCGACGAGAGTAGTATCAAATAGCTCAATTAAACCACTGATGGCCATTAAAATGTCATATGGTGAGGAAATCATGCGTAATTGTTTGTAACTGTGTAACGAACTTCTAGAATGGACAAACAGAACGACGATGTGTGGGACCCCCATCAACCTACTACTATAAATATAAAGACCTGCTCTGTACACAAGTATGCAATTTTTAATATTCATCGTCCCATAGAACATAGATCGAATTCTTATTGACTTATATACCACTCATTAACTATTACATCATCTTAAGTTTTTTATCCATCAATTTTAACATTTTCGAACAAAAATAATTGAAAAATGTTAAAATGTAAGTGGCTAAATTGAGACTTTTTAAACAAATTGGAACTAAATTAAAAAAAAAATTACTCCATCTCTAAAATATAAATTTAGCCAAACATGAATTATAATATAAGATTTAAATTTGTCTCGGGTCAATCACCAACTAGTCAATTACAAGTTTTGAAAAATTTCCATTAAATTTGGCCATTTTCCATATTTTATTTACTTTGTTTTCTTTTTCTTTTTAACTTGTTTGGGTAGAAAAGTAAAGAGCACGAATGCTGTGGGACATACTACAGAAATAGATCGCCTTATTATTATTACGCACTGATTGCACGTGCGAGCGTGTTTCATTCCTTAAATGTTATGGGACCCACATTATATTCACACGGTCGGAAAGTTCAAAATGTCTAAACTTCTTATTTAATGCTATTTTTTTAACCCAAAAAAAATATATTTTTTTTGAGAAAGGTTATTTTTTCTAATTATATTTTCACTAATATAAATTTTTTCTACTTAATTCTATTCCTATTACATTGTTGGGGAAAAAATCCCGCTACATGTAATGTTAGGAGCCATAGAATATGCAATTAGGCTGGCTTCACTAAGTTAGCAATCAACTCAATACGTGTCCAAGCTGAAAACGTACAGATTGGGAGAGTAAGTTTAGTCATACTTAGTTGAGGTCAATTGAAAGACTCTTTAATCGTCTTGACTGCAACTATGTGATGTTGTAAGATATGATCTTAGAATATGATTACGTGTAGGACTAACGGTTGGACATCAACTATCAAAATCTAGTGCTTGCACCGATAAGAGGTAGGTGTGAATTTGGAATTTCAAACTATAAACTACCAACTCGATTACTTACTAACTTGAGCGTTAAAATATTCACGCTTCCTTTTATAGGTTTTTGCTTTCAGTAGGTTCACTAGCCTCACTTCGACTTTGACTCTCCTCAAATTCCGACAAATGTCATTCTTTTAATTGCTTTTAAATAATTTTTGAATAAAATAGCATTAAAATTTCAATTCTCATCATCATTGCTTGTTTTAAGAAATTGAAGTGGGTTTAGGGATTCTTCGATTCTTTTTTCATTTTTTCTATTTTATTGTTTGTTGTTTTAAATTCAATATTATTGATAATACATATAAATAAATTAAATTTACTCAACTCATCAACTTAAACTTTTGGATTGAACGGTGGTTTATTCATCTTTAACAAATATATAAACATAGAAAATCGTAATTTAATGAAGTATTATTTATTTTTATTTTTAATTTCATAAAAATATTTAATAATTTGAATTAAATGTTGGAACAAAAAGGTTTATTAAACATATAATTAAAAAAAACAAACAAACAAAATTTGGGGATGGAAACGACAGTTGGGTTGGGAAATTGAGAAAATGGTCTTTTTAAGTTGAGGACTTTTCAAATGGGCTTTAATTTATCCATTTAAAATTTTAAACTTCTTTTTCGTTTAATGATATATTTGTAGTGGGGATTCAAATCTCCGAACTTGATATATAAGCTAACCTATTAGCTACGCTAATTAGATTGGTATTTATCCATTTAAATCTCGAAGTTAAATACGTGATGAAATTAATTAATTAATATAGTTATTATAAGTTTCTACCCAATAAGATAGGTTAGATTAGAAATGTTTTTATAAGATAGGTTAGATTAGAAATGTTTTTATAGAAACTAACACTAAAAATATAAAAGCAGTGATTCAAATTTTGAATTTATAAGAACAATATACTTCTGGTTAAATTTATAACAAGCAAAAAAATCGTTCTTGCTTCTCTTTCTTTCTCTACATTTTCCTCTCCCACGAGTTATTCAGTCATGTGCCCAATCAATAGAACAAGATTAGTCCCAAATTTATTAACATCTTAATGAGTTCCACTATTTATATATGTATTAGCTAGATTAAGAAGTGTGAAATGAGTAGTATTGGTTTTAAAAATTGAGTTGGTATCAATATTTGAAGTGGGATAAGGAAAATGTGCAATGAAATATTATTATCCCTAATATGAAAGCAATGACTTTAGCAAAAGGTTCCATTGGATATTTTAAAGCTTTGATTTGACAATTCACTTGTGGGAATATATGCCCCACACCCCCACCATACAACTTCTTTGGAATATATACTCTAATTTGCAAATAAATGAACTGTCACACCTTCAATTATACATGCTTGTTTTGATTAATGTATTAAGTAATAAATTTGACCAATCTAAACGTTGTCCAATCGGTTAAAGCATAAATTCTATATCAAAAAGCTATAGGTTCAAGTCTTCATTCCACATATGTTGTTGTACTAAAAAGAAAAGAGTTAATTTGTTAATTTGGGATGATGTTTTGAGAAGACAATTATAAGTGAAACACTCCGTTCTTTAAATTTTTTTTAAAAAGAAAAGTAATTAATTAACTGTTTTTTTACGTAGTTTCAAAATCACTTGTTTTAACTTTAATATTATGAAAAGTGTTTTTACTTTGGTGAAGATTATTTTTTACCATTTCAAAGATAAGGTACTAACATATGATATCCTTAAGCAAATTAATGCTTCTAACAAGCTACTGTGGGTATATTTTCAGGAAAATACTTAGGTGGTAAACATCTATTTTTACACTGATCATCTGTTTCATAATTAATTATTTTTTAAAAAAAATCTATATTTTTTAACTTCTCTTATTTCTGGTCAGGATATATAGTAAGAATCTAAGTATTTTTCATATTTTTACTCGTTTGCATCCTTAAATGGCAAGCCAGCTTCTAGATTAACAAAAGTGGAAAATTTATTTGATATAGCTGGAACGTTGTAGTCATCAGTTTTTATATTTAGTTTGATATGATATTGAGAAAAAATTAAAATTTTTCCATATATAGAATGATAAATTAGAAAAACAAATTTGAAGCTCCCACTGAGAGAAATATGTATCAAAAATTTCATGGTGTGTTTCTTTTGATTATAAATTTTGATCTTATCAAATTGGTCCCACATTCAAAATTTAATCATCGAAAAGTTAAATTAAACTTCTGATTAAATTGTATAGAAATCATTGAAAACGTCAAAACTCTTCAAATGTGGTAACGAGTTTCAGCAAAATGTGATTGAAATTTTCAAATCTTGAATTGTAATACCAAGAAGAAAAATAATAATAATATTAAGAACAAATGGAAGAAATAAATTCAATGCTAAAACTAAAACTAAAATTTAATATTCAAAACCCACATTCAACTTAAACTAGAAGCTAGAACAACGAGCCATTTTTCTGTCTACTATTTACATTTGAAGATGGCAAAACAAAGAAAAAGAAACTAAACTAATTAATGAAGCTACAAGAAACACAAAGTTACCGTCACTGTCGATCACCGATCTCTCTGAGCATGTCAAGAATACAAACGACGTCTCACATTAACTAGAGAAGAGGGAAAAATATCTCCTTTTGTAGAGACAAGAGGTCCGTTATCATAACAGAGAATTCAGCAGATCGATCGGGGGTACGTCGAGGACTCAATCGTGCCAACAGAGAAGCATTACAATACAGCTTCGGATAATGTAAAGCTTTCCTTTTTGCTCCCTAATATAACCCCCAAGGGATGATCTTGATGATCTCCATGAAACTTTCTTCTTCTTCCCCTCTCCCTCTGCAACTCCTCCACTGCTCCTCCTTCTGCTCATCTTTCTTTCTTTCTTTTTCCAATATACCCTTTTGTCCTCCTTCAATTATGTTCCAAGCTTTTGAAGTCAGCCCCACAGTTGGAAAAAGGGCAAGAGGAGGGACCTCTATTTATATAGAGAATGAGAATTAATCCTGTTTCTCTTTTTTGTTTTTTTTTTTTTTTGGTCTCTCTATTGGGTTTTTGAAAGAGCATTTATGAGGGGATTCAACCACCAAGAAATTTGGTCGGCCATTGGATAATAAATTTTGGGAAGAAGAAGAGAAGAAGAAGAAGAAGAATGGTTTGGGGATCTGTGTGAAGCCATTGTTTTTAGGAGCTGAAGATGCTTCCTTGTTCTTTCGTTTTGGTGCAGTTTTTTAGGATTGGGAAATTAAAACTGAATAATGTCTAAGAAAAAGTTTGCTGATTGCTTTCGGTTTTCGAATATCACAAAAAAGGGGCTCTTTTTTGTTCCAATTCTTTAACGTTTGTTCCCTTTTTAATGGTTTAATGGAAGCGTTCGTGTGGTTGATTCGTTAAGATTGTTAAGGACAACCGGTACTCAATATGTTCAAAGTATCTTTACAATTGTATGATATTGTCAGCTTTGGCCATAATTTTCACCGTTTTGCTTTTAGTTTCACCCAAAAAAACCTCATATTTCCAATGGAGATAATTGTCCCCTCTTATACAAAGTCTCTGTATTAAAAACTTTAGATTTAAGTTTCCTTGAATTTGCCTTCAGTTTTATCCGAGATGATACTGTATACTAACGGAAGGTTTAGGTTAAATTACAAGTTTAGATCTTTGAATTTCAAATCGTGTCTAATGTGTTTATGAAATTTTAATTTTCTAGAAAAGTTATAGATGTATATGTTAGACATAAAATTTAATTAATTGTGTAATAATAGATCATTGAAATTTAAAAAATTTCTAAATAAAATTAAAAATTTAGACACCAAATGGACACCTTTTGACATTAAATGTTCTATTAGACGTAAAATTAAAATTTCAAATTAGATATACAAAATTGAAATTTTTGGGACCAAAGAAGACCTTTTTTGTTTAATTCATAAACCCATTTTAAAAGTTTTGAGATGCGTTGGACATTTTTTTAAAGTTTTAAGATATTATATTTAACCAATATTTTATTTTATTTTTATATATATCAGGAATATTTTTTCTATTCTAGGTCGATATGGAACTTATGTTTGCAATAAAACCTATTTATGTTTTTTTTTTTTAGTTTGGAAAAGAATGAGGTATTCAAAACTCTAACTTTTAGAAAAGGTAAAATAATGTCTTGATTAGTTAAGCAGCGGTTCACATGGACAACATATTTATGTACGAGGTTAAATGAATTTGTGGTTATGTTGCATAGAGATAAATAGCATATAGAAAGAGAATGAATGAGTAAAAAGATTCATTTCACCTGCATTTGCTTTTTTTTTTCTTTTTCTTTTTCAAATTCCATTTGCCCTTTCAACCAATTTAGACCAAAATTTGTGTATCTTGATTTTGGAGGAATTTTTGAATGTCTATATATATATATATCACAATAAATAATTATTTAATTATAATAGCTAAATAATAATTAATTTTCACTTATGAAATTTACTAAATGTTAATTAATTTAAATTAGTTAAATTAAATTTAATATAAACAATTATTTTCAATTTTTAATGCTTTATAATTAACTAATAGTAATTAATCATGTATTCCCATGAAATTATGATAACGTTCTCGTACAAAAACCAAGCACGATTATCTTTGATTCCAGACATCTTATTCTCATTTATCTTATTCCTAAGAATATTAAACTAAATCTCAAACCAAATGATTTCTAAGGGTCCCTTTAGTTATAATATTCTCATTTCTTGTTTCTTTTTTCCTCTTTTTAATAAAAAAAATATATAATTGCATTTGATAACTATTTCTGGTTCTTCATTTTTTTAATTGAAAAAAAACTTAATTTTGTTGGAAACAGTAACAAGAAACAATAATTTTTTTCTCCAAAATTTTCTATACAATTTTGGGAACATTTCTAAAAAAATGAAAAATAAGAAACATAAATAGTTATCAAATGCTAACCTCCTCAAATAAATTAGAAACAAGAAACAATTACGTTATCAAATGGACCCTAAGATTCTCCAAATTTTTAATTATTGTATGAAATTTTATTACATTCAGCTAAATTTGGGATACAACTATACTATTAATAGAAGAAATATTACTCTTTCTTACAAATACATGATTTTTTTTTCATTTTTAATTAACGTGAGACTGTCAAATATCATTATACTTCAATTTGTCTGGTTGAAAAATACATATATTAATATATATTAATAGGAGACTTTGTTCGCAGTCTCATTTGACATATTACCAATTGAATATCTATCTTATCTAATCCTTCCTTCCATGTACTTTTTATTTCATAGAAATATGAATACAAGTTGAGTTTGTGTTCTATCATTTCGTCCTTATATCTTTATCCAACTTATACCAACTTTTTGTTCTATCGCAATCCACTTTTATCTCTATTTTCTTCGTACAATGGTAAATCTATCAAATGTATTCTATTATTGGCTGCTTTTCAACAATATACTCCAAAAGCCTGCTGTTCAAAATTTTCACAATTCAACTAAAATAATAAAAATAACATTATAGTTTAGATTACAAAACAAGAAAACTACTTCATTTTCTAAAACTTGGCTATGGATTTGTGAATGAACCCCAGAAAGTAAGCAGCTTCCACGAAGTTGTGTTGTGGGGCACAGACAAAGAACAAAATAAAATGAACAGACAAACAACCTAAAAAAAAAAACTTATCTTCCAATAATGTTTATATAATGTAAGTTACCAAAGTTCTAAGTATGTCAGAAAATTTGTTAATGAATTCTAAAAATTACAAGACCCCAAAAATAGTGGTTTAAATTAGTGTTATGTGAAGCCTTAATTCAAAACATAATCCCACACATAATGTTTTGTGTTCCTCCCACTTCTCAATTTCTTTACTATTGATGCAATTGGGGAAGTTTGGGCCTTGACCAATTTGTTCGTTTAGAAAGAATTGAGTTTTTAAATTTAATTTTTGAAGTTTTAATTTGTGATAAAATTAGTGTTGAATTTTATTATTATTTCTTTTTTTGTGTCGAAGAGATAGATGAGTGATCGAATCATCGACCTCCTACCGTTAATGGATGCCTTACCTACCGAGCTAATTAATACTCAAATTGGTGATATGGACGGTGTTGTTGGGATCAATCAACATTTGTTATATGTTCATGAGTTCGACATTGACCTATTGACATGAAGGGTGAATCGACATTTTCATGGTATTACAAAAAAATTGACAAAATATAAAAAATATCAACAAACTTAAATGTCACTAATATATAAATAATATTGATATTAATGGGTTTTAACTTATTTAAAAAGAGTGTAATGCTTATTTATTATTTTAAATATTGGTTATAAGTTTTGTAGTTTTATACTTTTTCAAAAATATATTCATTTTAAATCTGGTTGGAATAATACAGTAGAACAATTTAGTGATAACATTTAACACTCAAGCCTATCTATATTGTTTCTTCAACTTGTCATGACTATATTATCATGCTCCCATTTTTCCATCTGGCGGGTTGGCCGCATATAACTTCTTTTTTATAGGTGATTATCGAAAGATACTAGAAAATGTTTTAGTTTAAAGTAGATGACCATCGTAGAATTTGAACCATGGTTATGCCAACCCATCGTGGTTATTAATCAATTATATTAGATTTGAAGCTACCTGAGAAAAGCATACACAATTTCGTACCATTTTACTCATTTTTCTTGTATATTATTACAAGTTTTTATATAGATTATAGCGATGATAGGTCCTCCATATGGGAGGAGTACGCACCATGTATAAATAAGAGACCACACATAATCTTTGATGATGAGAATATCATATCAACTTTGTCAATCTATATTAATCTCATTAATTTAATTTATATACTATGTTTGAAACTTTAACATATAATCTAATATTTCATTCACTCTCCATCCAATAATTTAAATCATAAAGCCATGGAGAAAAAAAACAACATTGAGCCAAAAGTATTAGGGAACTTTCATGCACGTGAAGGGCAGGGGAAGTGCCCTTAACATGCTAGACAACCTTGATTTTTGCCTCGACATGTCGTCTCGGTGTTCCCAAAATTCTTCCATTCACCAAACGGCGTCGTTTTCTTTGGTTATACTAAATAATAATAATAATAATAAACAAAAACCAAGAATATTTAAATGTCTAAATCATTTACATTAATTACCATATCTTTGTCTTGGATTAATCAAAGATTTTGTAAGCATTAAACAAAAATGCTAATTAATCAGTTCAATGAATTGGGTTTCTTTAACATTTGGTTTTCGAGCTCCAAAAATATCGAAACTTTGAGAGAGCAAATCTCCTTCCTTCGTGGGTTTAATTATGTGTTTACTGACAAGGTATGAGATTAATTGTTTATTTATATGTTTTAATTTGATCCATATTCAATTAATCTCGTTAAAATTGAAACAATTATAACATATAAATTAGTACCTAAGGTATTTGTGGTCATCCCAAAGATCAATGATTCGATCCCCTACTCTACTCTGTAATTATTCTGTAATTATTGAACATAAAAAAATTTTGTTAAATTGGATAACGAACTTGTGGTCATATTTAAGGTGTGTTGTGATAATATTTAAATTGGATAAGTACTTCTTTTTCCTATAATTTTCTTTTAATTAGATAACTTATTAAAGTTAACTTATTAATAACTTTTTGAAAAAAAAACTATATTTATAATTATTTTTAAAATATTCTATATTTATAACTATTTTTATAAAGATACATATTTGAAAACAATGTTTTTAAACTGGCAATTCAAATTTTCCTTAAATAATCCATCATTTAGTGGATTGTTAATTTGGGTAAATACCCGTTGAATTTTAAATTGAGAACAGTGAGGCAGATATTTAACACTCAAAAATTTTACTCGTATAAAATTTTATATTTTAACACGGTACATCTCATTTTATTATATAATTTTAAAACTGTGTTGTTTTTTTTTTTTTNTTTTACTTCAATTTTAAAACTGTGTTGAACGAGATATCTTAATAGAAAATTTTTTGGAACTTAGAAAAAGGGAATTGAAATTTTTAAAAGATAAAATTAAAATTTAAAAAGATGAATGAAATTATATATTTAGCCCGCTATATACCATGATTTTGGAGAAATTAATTCAATGTATGAAAGTATAAGCAAATGGACAATGTACCTAAAACCTATAAACTTTGCCTCCAATATTTGGGAAATGGAGRCTTCCAAGTTCCAATACCGGTTATTGTGGGCTTAATTTTAATTATAAATTTGTTTTCTTAAGGCTAAATATATGTTTCGGTTTAAAATTTTTCAATCTACTCCTTCCTATGTTAACATTTTTCGATTTAGTACCTCATGTTAAGACTTGTTAATGATAAACTTACATTGATTAATAATTGACGAGGGAAAATGCCAAGAGTAAAGGTTTTAATTCCTCCAAATTTATTAAGCAATGGTAGAAATTTTGAGTTTTTTTTTTTCTTTTGATGGCCTTTTTTCATTACTAAATTTTCAGAAGTTCACTTATCTCCACAATGATATGATATTGGTCCTCACGGATTTGTTTTTGGTTCCACCCAAAATACCTCAGATCAATTGAGATAATTATCCTCACCTATAAACCATGGATCATGCTCTTTCCTAACCCATGAGACTTTGTTTGCAGTTCTCTTATAAATCCAACATTCACGATCTTTTGGTCAAAAATAGGTGCCTTGACAAGTTAGTTATGCTATAATATTCATTTTTAAAATCTCATTACCCACTCAATGACATTATATTATTAATTAAAAGTCAAAAATTCATTTGGTGGTCCAAGTTAAATCCAAGCCCGTTGGCAAATTGGATTAGATGGATCAGCCCAAGTTCAGTCCATTCAAGGTTGAATGTTAAAATTTTAAGTTATGAAAATGTCAAAGATATCAATTTTATAGATATCGATCAAACATTTTTCTAAACAAAAAATTCATGATAAATATTTAAATTATCAAAATAATATTTCATCATTTTTAAATAAGTTAAGAATTTATTTATATTAATGCTATTTTATGAATATTTTTATATTTTATCAATTTTTTTCGATACTATAAAAATGTCGACTACCTAAACATGTCAATTTCATATCTATGTAGGAATATTTACGACATCTTCCTTAACTTCAGTCTCCTTCTGTATGTGGGGAGTCCAATCGAGTTGCCTATTTACTTGCGCGTGAGCATCTAGGAAAACTATTTCCTTATCTTTGGTTGTCTTGTTTCCCACCTTGGCTTCTCCAAAGGGTGGATTCTAGTATCTTTGACATTTGTAGCCTTAATGGCAATTTAACTTTCTATTTAATGAAATTCAGTTTCACAAGGAAAAATGTCATATCATATCTAGATACATGGAAATGTCGATATGACTTATATATTTAATGTCTTGATAACAAGAAATATCACAATGTTTACATATTATCAAACTTTTAGACCATTTCTTTATAATTAGAAATTTTTCTCTCACTATATATATTTACACTCTCTTTCGTTAAGTTAAAAAACTTACGTAAAGTTTTCTAAGAGTTGAAATTTTATTAGCTTATAGCATAGTTGAGGTATAGACAAATGAGGCGGCTAAGTCTATGATTTTAGAATGGGCATTTTATTTTCCACGAAATTGTGTTAATAGTATTGTTTATTTAGTTTAAAATTTAAATTTATAGTAAATTAAAATTTTAAGCATATTTAACATTTTAAGAACCGTAGCATTGAGGATAGGTATGTTTTATTGTTATTTTGAATGGTTGAAATTATAATTAACTAATGGAATTTAGAAATGGCACATATAAAATGTATTTTTTTTACATATAAAATGCATTTTAACGAGTATAAGAACTTTTTAATTTATTTCTATTATAACTTTTTCTTTACTAATTTTTTAGTTAAACAAATGCAAGTTGGTGGATTGAAACTTGAATTTTGTATTCGAACATGTCATAGCAGAGATTTGAACGACTCGTGACCTTTTGTTCGAATATCAATTTTAACCAATTGAACTATGTTGATAACTTTTTTTTTTTTACTTTGACCATACGGTAGATTCTAGATTCTTTTGTCACCTAATGGCTCAAGGATTGAGCTGCCTCTATTCTCTACCTCGACCGAGTCAAGTCAGTTTTAGCATTCTTTTGTTCCTTAATCACAAGTATATGATGTCTTGTCATGGCTTGTATGCCTTATTTAATGTTAAACCGCCTCTTAGCTTTCTCTAATGTAATAATTGAAAGAAAAAAAATTATAAGGTATGGGTTAGCACTTTGTGAGTAGTATTGCTTGAACTCGTAGGATCATTTATAACATTAAATTGCTCGAAATATTTTAGTACAAGAAATGCAGTACGGAGATTTCAACATAAATGTATAATTTCATAATTACTTGAGTTTTGTATCATCATAATTCATACATATACCAACATTAGGTATGCATTATCCTAAGCAACATAGTAGGAAGAATAAGAACTCCCTTATAAATATTAAACATAACTCAATCAGTTAAAATATATATTCTTAATAAAAAAAAGTCAGAAGTTCAAACTTCCACCCCACGAACTAAAAAAAAAGAATGTTACCATTGGGTATTTTGGTTTATCAAGTAGTCCTCCCAGACGACATTAAATATCTCACCTCGCCAATTACATAAAAAATGAGCATTTACCTTAACCACTAAACTATGCTCATTTTAACAAAAAGTTCTTTAAAATTATTTAAAAACTAATGCTTAAATAGGTTAATGAATTATGCTGATGTTTAGCAAAAAAGTTTCTCGAAAGTATACTAAAACCAACGTACTCTCCAACAAAAAGCTCCATGGTGCTAGCTAGTGGAATCATTTCCACAACCAGTCATTCCAATGTATGAGATCATAATCGTAACACTTAACTATTGATAATATTACTATTGATTATTTACACAAACAAATCAATTATAGTCGTGATCAAATACAAAGAATTTGTTGAGCAAAATAAAATATATTCCAAACATAAAGTACTTTTTTTAGACCTATAATTAATACACCGGTGTGTTTGAGAATGATGGTAGAATTAGGGTGTGTTTGGAAGTGATTTTGACATGCCAAAATCTCTTTTGTCAGAATCACTTGATCAGGCAAATTAGAAAATTGATTTTAAGACAATTTAAAATCACTTTAAATTGATTTTTAAAATATCACTATTTTAAAAAATCAATTTTACTTAAATCTCCTTTTTCAAAATCATTAATTCTACAATCAATCTCAAACACACCCTCGTCATTTTGAAATAATAGATTCGAGTATAATTGATTTTTCCATACAAATAATACTTTAAAAATCAATTTAAAGTGATTTTAAACATTTTTAAAATCAAAATTTTAATTTGACAAACCTGAGCAGTGAAAAGGAAAGTGAGTAGAAAAATGATTTTGGTCCTATCAAAGTAACCCACAAACCCACCCTAACATTTTTCCTCTTTTGCTCTTCAAGAAAGCACGTTGACATGGAATTAGCAGGGGATGAAGTAGCATTTTGATTTACTTTTTCTTGAAAAATAAAGTTTTAATACATTTTATTAGCACATAAAGTAGATTAAAAAATAATAATTATTATTATTCCATTGAGGTATAGGAAGTTGTACTAGAAATCTAGAATGGCTGCTTCGAAGTCCACTCATTGTGTCAAATCACTTGCATAAAGAATAAGACATCAGCCATCCCAATACATGGAGTCAAAAACCAAAAAATATATATATATAATAATAATAATAATTTTGTGTTATTTTAAAAAATACATATTAACTCTAAATTGAAATTTCTCAACAATTTTATTGTAAAGAATCTAGAGTAATATCTCTTAATACATTTAACATATACCCCCGGGTTCAAATCTTACTGGGGTCTTTCTAAAAAAAATAAAGAAAAAAAAAAGATCTTATTGGGTTTCATAAACTCTCTTTTAGCCCTACTCCTAAGGTGTCAATTACGACTGGATAGAACTGAACTCTTTGCATATAAAAATACTTAAAAGTACTTTTTTCATTAATCATTTCAACAATTAAACTTTTAATTTTAATTTTAATTTATTTTAGTTAGTCTACTCTCAAACCATTATTGTGGCCTATTACAATCTCTGTTCTTTCAAAAAAATGACTGATTTATTTCTTATTTATAAAATTTTAAATTTCCATATCCAATGAAAATTCTTTTAATACAAATTTATGACAACGATATTAAAAAATCTAGATGGTAAAATGTCATAAATGATGAAAGGAAATGAGTTAAAAATGAAAGTTAAAAGACTAAAATAGATGCTTGGAACAAAAGTTGAAAAAACTAACCAAAATAATTAATTAAAAGGGAGAATCGAGGAATCAAAATAATTAAACCCTTTTCTTTTTAAGTCAAACCAAACAACTAACTACGTGTCTCGATCTTGTCAAGTTTCTACAAAATGATTAATATGAAAACAAGTATCAAAAATTAGAATGGCCAACACAAAGCTTCTAAAAAAAAAAAACTTGGTAAAATTTAGATATCAAAATAAAATAAGCTAATAAAAGTTGAGAAAATAAGGTAAAATTTAAACCTTTTATCTTTCCCCACCTAACAAAGAATATCCCAAAATGCTTAGTGGATTATCAGTTTTCTTCTCTCTTTTTTCCTTTTTCCTTTTCTATAATTCTGGAATATTCCCTAAAAGTAAAACAAGAATGCAAACAATATGTACTTTTTCCAACTTAAGTCCATTGTGATTAATTTCCACATAAATGTTCATCCACAATTCAAGCCACAATAGTTACTAATCCAGGCTAATTCAATTACATTTTTATTAATTAACTAATATATCATCAATGTTATCATAACATTAATAAAACAAAAAGAAGAAAAAAAACTATATTTTGCTTCAATTTTTTTTTAAAGGGCAAATTCAGAAGAGTTTTTAGGGAGGCCCCATTTGGAACAGAGATGGTTTCATCTTTATTACTTTCTTCTTTCTTCTGGTTCTAATTGTTCCCAACAAAAACAGTCTGTGTAAAAACAGTACAGAGAGAAAACCAACCTGCATTTACTCGACCGCCATGGCCATGGAGGCAGAGCTTCATCCATGTCCCTGGCCTCCGATTCGCTCCACAAGGTTCCCCAATTTCGCATGCTTGCTGCACCAAGCTTCCACAAGCTTCGCCTCTTTGCTCTCTGCCTCTCTCTGCAGCGTCTTCAGCTGCTCTCTGTAATCGCTCTCGATTCTCCCCAAATACGCCATTTCCTCCTCTCTCAAGCTCCGTATCTTCGCCTCCATCTCCTCCATTTT